GCCTGGCGGAAACCGGAGCTGAGTGGAGAGCCTGCTCGGCGGTGACGGCGCCCGCAGGTGCCCAGCCCGGCCGGGGACCGGGCGGCCGAGGGGAGGCGGGCGTGCCCTCGGCCCTGTTGGTCAGCGCACCTGCTGCGGTGGGGCCTGGCTGCCCACGTGGCCGCGTGTGCGGGCCCGCCCCTGCCGTTAGTTGTGGAGGCTGGCGTAAACAGGAACCGTAAAAGCAGGTACCTGTCACTTTCTGGCTTGAAACACAGATGCACACTCATTTGTCAGACTTCACGTGTAGTTCGAGAGTTTGTTTTTGGTTTGTTTTTTTAATTTGTTACAAGGTGTGTGCCTAGTGGACAGAGGGAGAAAGTGAGAAGTCACGGGGGGGAGGTTTGGCCTCGCTGAAATCCCTTCCCCATTCTCTCGAGATTTGGGGCACGCCTGCTCATGTCCTGTGTGTTTCTCAAGCCGCTGGGGCAGGGACTTGAACTTGTGGTCAGCCAGGGGCACCTGCCATCTCAAGCACCACACTGGCTGGCCCGAGACCTTCCTGTAGGATAGCGCTGCCTCGACTGTCTCTGCCGAGTAACGTTTTCACATCCCTGTTCATTTCAGGTTAAGCACATACACGTTTGAGAACCAGTTTGAACATGGAAACTGTGGAATTTTATGTTTTCCTTAAAGTTTTATTCCCCCAACCAAATTCCATTTTTAAGTAACGTTTCATTTTTAGGGCTAGCAGGCAGCGTGCAGGCCTGAGGACTGCTCTGCTTGCCTGCGCAGTCAAGCGAGGGCAAGTGACTAGGCCTGCCCAGGTGGCTCCTGGAGGGTGAATTAGGAAGGCACCACCCTACTGGGGCTGAACCGACTTAGCTTTTCTTAGGGACTTGCAGTCTGGGGTCTGGGCCAGTCGACCATTCGTGGTGCAGCCCAGGGTTGGCCCTTGACAGGGCGGTGAGCAGAGGAGCTGACCTGGCCAGGAGGTCACGCTCCAGGCCTTGGGAGCCGTGTCATCTCACTCCCAGCGGGAGTCGCACCCACCCGGAAGGTGCCATGGGACGTGCTCTGGCTGGGCCCAGGGTGTCCTTTCCGAGGTGCTCACAGATGCTGGAGGTCCAGTTTGTGCAGTGCCTCCACCTCAGCATGTCGACGACAGTGGGCAGGAGCATCGGGCTGCATGGTGATCATCCGGTAGTTTTAAAGAGGAGCTAAGGAGGCCCCTCGCACACGTAGGTGGGGCCCTTGGCCTCTGTCTATGTCCGCATGAGAGTCCTAGCCCGCCGCTGCTTGGCTCTGGTGGCTAGGTGTTCACAGTACTCGTCCCCAGATCACACTGCGCCCAGAAGTGATCGTGATGCTGGTGGGGGTGGGGACAGGACTTGCAGGCTGCGACCTTGCGTTGGATGGAGGCTGGCTCTGTGGTGCACAGAGCCGACTTCTATGTGGCCGTTGGCCGCAGGCGAGGGGAGTCCAGAGGCTTCCGCACAGTCCTCCCTTCCAACTGCGGTGCTCTGCCTGCTGCCGTGGTGCTCAGGGCCCCCTCTTGGCCGAGGACCATGCTTCCCAATAGCTGTGTGGCTCCTGTACTGGCAAGGTGGCTGGGGGCTGGGACACAGGGCCTCCACCCAGTGTCCTAAATGAAATGCGAGGGTCCTCTTTGGTTCTCAGAGTCAGTCCCACAGTCAGGTTCCTGTGTTCGGAAGTCCTGAGCCTTCCACGACCGCGCTATCACTCCGTGTCCAGGGTGTTTTCCCATCACGCACTCGTGCTGAGTGTGCCCAGAGACGTCCCTCTTCTCTCGCCCTGTTCCCACCTCTCTTCCTTAGAGTCTGCTCTTGCACGTGTCCTCTTTGAGGTGGGTACGTGGACGTGGTCGCCGTGTGTGCTCGTCCCCTGTCCTTGTGCCAGAGCACGTGTTCTATGCACACGCCTTCCCAGCCTTTCTCCAGTTAATCACGCACCCTAGGAACTGTTCCTGTTAGTTCAGAGAGATCTTGCCTTTTTTCTTTAAGGTTTTTGCCTTAGGGCACATGCACTCACCAGAGAGAGAGACAGTGAAGGAACGCGTGAAAGCAACCCCTGGGGGGTAGCCATCTGCAGTCCCTCCTCCGTTCTCTTCTCAGTGATCTGCGTGATCTTCGAGTCACCGATCCGGGACTCGAACCTCGTCGGCTGTGTGGAAGTCCAGCACCTTAACCTTCACGTCCCCTGCTGGCCCCATCAAGTGACCTCATTCCTAAATGGCTGCATAGTCATCTTTGAGTACGTGTTTCTCAATTCCCTCAGCTGGTCTCCTGTGGGTGGGTGTTTATGTTTCCAGAAGGTTCTGATTGTACCTGGAACATGCAGATGTGCTGCGACCAAGTCCGTCCTGGAAGTAGGACTGCTGTTCCAGGGTGTGAAGGCAAAGGTGATCTGCTGGGACCCAACAGGAGGTTTCCTGTCACAGAGGTCACCTTGCAGGTGGTGCCAGTGGTCCCAGCCTGCACCCGGCTCCCACCACAGGGACAGACGCTGCCTCCCGTGCATGCGCGTCCTGGTGGCCGTGCCTCATCCCTTGTGTGCAGACGCCCGGCTGCAGGGCTGCCGGTCTGACGTGGAAAATGGGAGTGCCCCTCGTGCTCAACGCTCGGTCCCAGATTTGGACCTTTCCAGTTTCCGGGGAGGGCCTGGGTCGATCGTTTGACGTCCACACGGCCGGAGGCACTCACACGGTACTGTCGGATCCCAGCATCCGGACCGTGGCCCGGCATGCGTCAGGTGTCGCGTTTCTCACCCGTGTCATGTCAGCACCGGAGCAGGTCTGATTTGGGACCTTTCGGACTGTGGGTTTTCAGGAAAGGACTGCTCTACCTGCACCCAGTCTCCCGGCGGCCAAGCGGTGGCCCGCGTGTGGGGAGCTTAGCGTGGTGGGCACGTTTCTCCGAGGGCCTTCTCATACGCCTCTCGGCCACGTGGACGTCCTCGTCTCCAACAGGGCCCCTCAAGCACCTGTGGCTCACACGGCCGGTCTGCGGCTGAATTACACCACGCCCGCCGCCTGCCTGCCGCCTGCTCGCTCGGCGCGTGATGGAAGTGAGAGGCGCTGCCAGGACGCAGGCCCTGGGCGTGGGCGAGGCCGCGTTTTCCCTGCCCACAGGCCTGCGTGCGTCTCTGCTCTTCCCGCCTCTGCGCCGAGGCAGGCAGTTGTCCTGCCTTAGCCTTCCCACTCACACCTGCCGTTGTCATCTCACTTGGTCACTTGTAGTTCTGCCTCGTCTTTTTAGAGAGATCTTTGGTACAGGGCATGTGTGCCCACTAGAGAGACAGGATTGAGAAATCCCCCCCAGGGGATGGCCACGCTGCAGTCCCTTCTCCATCCTCCTCTCGGGATTTTGGGCTCACGCACGTGTGCCCCTCATGAGTTTAAGCCACAGTTCTGGGACTTGAACCTCGTCGACTACGTGGGACTCTAGCCACATAACCAATACACCGCCTGGTGGCCCTAGTCTGCCTCGTTTTTTAAAGTTAATGATTTAATTTATGTATTATTGCTCATACGTTAAATCGCTGCGTGTCACTTTTCCCCAGCATGATGTGCCACACACGTCCTCGTCGACAGGAACCTGCTCTGTCCCGAGTCTCGCCTCTCCATGTCCCCCCAAACCCTACGCCCTTCC